TATCTTGCTGAAAGGCCATGTCATTGTTGGATGTCCGACATTTCTGGATGATTCATGCTTTGTGGCCTCATCCATATTCATAAAGTAAAGTTTCATAGAGGGAGTCCAGTTGTCTTTTGGTTCTTTTGCATGACGGTTCAGGAAACTATAACTTTGATTTCTATAGACTGGATAAAAAATTTCTTTCTTTTTGATTGGGCGAAAAAATTGCCTATATATATACCATATAATTAATATTATCACTAAGGATAAAATAACAAGCTTGAATATAGGCAGAATTATATACTGATTATTAACTAAAGTATTACCAACCCCTAATATAACAATAGGTAAGGCTTGAATATTATCGAGTTTCTCTTTCTGCTTATTGCAGGTATGGTCTATGGGGGGCTCTACCACATCTTTTACTTTGCTTTCATTGAGTTCAGGCTCTGAGTGGTGTGAAGAAAAAGAGTGTGTTTTAGAGAAACCAGATACCTTTTCTACTGCATCGCCACCTGTTTTCGAATCATTAGATGACGAATCTGGTTTTAGAGAGATCTGTTCTAGTTCATCTTCCAGATCACTTACCCTAGATCGGAGACAGAAAATTAATCTATCTCTAAATGATAAATTTTGCGTAACTTGCTCCAGTTTATTTTTCAATTCCTTCACTTTAATCTCATGAAGTGACAGGGTAGTATCAGTATCCTTTAATAAAGCTTTTTGTGCTGTTTGTTCTAACTCAGCCTCCAATTCATTTATTCTAGCCTCAAAAGAGGTAATTTCAAAATCCTTCAAATTAATCTCAGACTTTAGCGATTCTATTTCTTTTAACTGCTTGGCATTAAGATTAGCATGAGACTTTCGTTCGCAAGTAATTTGGTAGCCAAGCTTATTATTTAAATCATTTAGTTGTTTATAGTATTCAAAGACAAGCCGGCTTATCACGGCTTGCTGCGGCTTAATGCGGCTTATCATGTGATAATTTCGAAGTTATCACCAAGCCATGTGATAATCGTGAAAATATCACGTGATAAATTCGAAGATACCACATGGCTTGGTGATAAATTCGAATTTATCACGTGATAAGCCGCATTAAGCTGCAGCAAGCCATGATAAGCCGGCTTATCTTTGAACATTAGTTGTTTAGTTAGGGGAATAATTTGATTCATAGAATTTTGCATACGCTCATTTTCTTCATGCAAGTAATCTAGATCATTTTGCATATGCTCATTTTCTTCATGCGAGTGATCTAGATCATTTGCATACGCTTATTTTCTTTATCTAAGGTATGATATTTAGTTATAAGCTGTTTGGCAGATCTTATAAACATTTCACGATCTTTTTTTAGCTGTTCTTCAAGCTCTAAACGACTAGGTGGATATCGATTGGATGGAGGGCTTCCAAGTTTACTACTACCACTATTACCTATATCATTCAAGGTATAGATTCGAGGCATAGTTTTTTTTTTATTCTAAAAATATAGATAGAAAAAATAAAAATATTTTTGAAATATATGTTTTTTTATATTTCCAAAATAATACATTTATCCTAATTATCCCAAAAAATCTTTTTCGAATTAATGTATTTATTCTAATTATTATATTAAATTATTTTCAAAATAATACATTTATTCTAATTATTCTATTAAATTATTTTCAAAATAATACATTTTTTTTTTCTAAATATTAAAAAGACTACACTTATCTTATTTATTTCAAATAATATATTTTTTCTATTTATCCTATTTAATATTTTTTGAAATATTTTATTTGAAAAAAAATACACCACTCTGATTATGGTTAGACAACGTATAAATTGTAATGCGCCTTTATTTTCACCAGCTGATTACGATTTTATTATGCAACGTGAAAATGAAAGGCCAAGGAAAAAGGTTTTAGAGGAATTAATGCACAAATATAACACATCAATGAAACGCATATATTAGATTTGGAGAGGCAAAAAAGCTAATAGGATTGCTTGGAATCAACCAATAGCTGATATTTCTAATATCGGATCTAAGGTCATTCACTTAAGTGAACCTGCCTCTTATGCTGTTATGCCATCCACTAAAATAGAAGGAGAAATTACTTCCTTTTGACCTGACTTATCACTAAAGAAAAATATCCGAAAAAAGAAGACAGGTAAAATGAGTGTAGCCTCCACTGAAACAGATAATACTATTAACCATGC